GAAGTATTATGCAGTCACGCGACGTAATCGGTATGAAATAGCCCCTGAAAGATGGCGTTCAGAGACTTTTGGCGGGGGTCTGTAATTATACTAACAGATTTCAAAGCTGTAAAACAACACGTTGCATGTTCGATCAAAAATAGTCATAATTTTCATGGACATATCTTTTTGCTATCTTCTAGTATTGTTCAATATAATTCAGTTTGCAGTGAAACTTCAGATAAAATATACATCTATGCTCAGCTTCCAGTATTACTTTTTCTAATACACTTTTTTGTGACAGAAAATCTGATTGTAATGAAATGATTCTCTATGCACAATAATTTGTCCGATTTATATTTTCAATCTTATTCTTACACAACTGATAATTAGCATTTAACCTATTTCTCCATAATTCACGCTCAATTAACACCTGTTTCATTCCTTTCAGTTCATTGTTTTCATTAACCATTTATTGATGCTTATTATCTGACCCAAAAATTGCGTCCTTCATCTTTAGCTGCTTGTCTTTAGGTTTTAGGTTTATCCTACTTGCTACAAATACATTAGATCTATATGTCGTGTGATTTGAACTATTATCAAATGCAAACAAAGCAATACAATTTGGAAAAAGTATTTCAAAAATCAGTATAGTTTTCATCTTTAATTATTCAATTAGATGTTCACTCATCTAGAATCCTTCCCAATCTTTTCCTGATTGAAGATAAATACGAGCTTCTTCAGGTATAGAAAGATTTTTTGATATTGCTGTAAGTTTAATTTAAGTCAATTACATTCTTCTGTTAGGAATTCACTAACTATAATAGAATGTCTATTTCCTTTTTTACGCAATGGTAATTCTTCAGATTTTGCCCATATATCTCATTTTTTATTATTAGAGTAAAAAATACATTCATTATGTATTACAAGAATTATTTCCTTTTCATTCAGTCCTAATATTAGTGGTATCCATTTTATGTTTTCACCTTCGCATTTCGTTATATTCTTTTCGTAGCTATAGATTTTATCTAAAAAAATTTATCAATATTTTACAACATTAGGATGTTCGTGACTATTATAGTATATGCCTTATATAATATCATATAACGTTAGTAACTGAATTTAATATTCTGTATATATAATATATTTATATTACCTTGCTTTTGTGATTGAAAAAAATATCTAAGTACATTAAGCCAACGCGTTGCAGTTTCTGTACTGATGGTTTTTTTTTTATTATTTCTGAATTAATAAATAGCTTTTGTTTAACAAAATCCTTGAATTTTAACAAAGTGATTTTTTCACCTTGAGACTGAATCCACATATGATACTTTTTTGCTATATCTTTATCATCTATTAGTCATAATGTCTTTTGATGTTTACCTTGATGGCTTATTGAAAGATATTTATATTAGAACTAATAATTTACCTAATATCGAATAGTTCTTACTCTATATGATACACTTTCGATAAAAACTAACTCTGCAGTTTCTATACTAGCCTTTACCATTCCTTTTCCATTATTATCTAATCTTCTCAAATATTCAAATACCGCTCGTTTTTTATTATATTCAGCCATTGTTAATGACTTTTGCTTTTCTTTAAGTTCAATTTTTAAACTTTCAAGTTTTTTTTTAGATCATTTTGTTCTTCATTTTCTATATCATCTATATCATCCAAAACTTCATTAAAATCATCTGGAATTACTTGACGTTTATTTAAAAATGACATAATTTTAGCAGTTCCTTTTTAGTTTTTGTAAAACAGCCACTAGGTCTGTATTTATCAAATATGTTAATTTTTATTTTTCTAGTAAGGTAAGGTCCACGTTTTTTTTGTTCAAATTCTGCATTATCTGATTAAATTAACTTATATTTATCTTCTTTTTCACTTAACAAATCTATTTCATCATCCCACCCACTGTCATCCTCATCTCTTCAATCATCAATAATTTGTGGTTTTTTTGCAAACCTTCTACTATTATTTCATTCTTGTTCTTTAACCTTAATTTTCTATTTTGATGGACAAGTCATTATTATCAAGATGCAAAACATAATAGGCATATTATTTATTAACGTTAATTTGATTCAAATACGGAAAAATATGAAAAAATATGGAAAAATAGGTAAAATTGGAAAATTGGAAAAATTTTGTTTTAATGTTTTTACATTTTTAATTCATTATGTAATGTAATAAGTTTCTCTTTGATATTATTAATACAAGTAAAAATTAAAAACCAAAAATTAATATGCCATTTTTATTTAAAGTTTTATAGAATCTCACTTATATATTAAAAAAATTAGTTTATTAAAGCTCATAATTTCTTGATTTTTACATTTTTCACATGAAATTCGTAAAAATAATACGTCTAAGCTAGTTTGAAATTTATTTTTTTACTATATGGTTATATGATTTATTCTAAAATTTTTAAACAAAATAAAAAATTAAATTTTCAATAAATCTTAAAAAGTAAACTGATAAAAATGATCAGCGCATGTTATTTTATTAATTTATCAGTTTAGATTTATGTTTTATTACTTTTATTTCTGACTTATAAAATTTTAAAATCATATAATATTTTTGTGATTTATAAATAACAGCCACCATATACATGATGAATTATATTATAATAATCTAATTTTTAAAAATAACAATTAATATTAAAAAAAAGCAGTTACTAAAGCTAAGTGTATCTTTAAACTTTATTTTAAATTTATTACAAATGCAATTTTATAGAAAAATACTAAGGTTATATTAAATGAGAAATCAAATGAATATGCAATTACAATTATAAAGATTTATTTCAATAGCTTTTAAGGATTTTAAATAATATTTTATAACAAAAATTTATAAATTCACTTAAGATATATGAATACTTATAATATAGATTAGTGATTAGATCTGCTAAATAAATTGTTAATAAGTATAAGTTTTATCATTATTTATTTGAAAACATTGAAAAAAAAATGGATCTAAATGAATAATTAATACTTATTTTATTTATAATAATTTGATACAAAATAAAATTTTGATTAATTTATAATTAGTAAACATTAAAATTTTTATTAAAATCTACAAAAAAAAATTTTTTTTTTTATATAATTAATATAACTTACATAACATTGCTATATTATTGATCAATTAAAATTGAAATAATCCATATGATTATCTGATATAACCTACTAATATTATATATAAAATATGATATAAAATCAATTTCTTATTAATTTATATGAAAATAAATATTTTTTAATCATATTTTTTATATGAATAACTATAGTAAGAAGTTTTTGGATTAATATTTATTATTGTTTTAAAGTCTATCTTGTCTTATAGATTGCTTAGATAAACAGAATTATATAATACAAAAAAAGGTTTTCTTTATAACCTTTTTAATTAGATCAATAATTTTTTTTTTATAGGATTTTTGTATATTTTGTAAGAAAAATAAGGTTTTAGTTTTCTAAACCATTTTGTGCTTAAGATTTGACTTTTACTTTTTATATTATAGACTGGAATTCAACTTTTTATTAACTTATATTTTAATTTTTTTCCTTTTAACATTGCATAGGTTTCATGTATTCCTAAAATGTGTAATAAAACTCACATTCTCACATACAAAATCATTTATATTTGTAATTTTGTAAGTAATAAATTCTGCCTTATCAAAAAAAAAAAAAAATATCTACTTAAATTTCATTTCATTCTCATTGAAACCAATGGTAGGAAATTTTTTTGCAAAATCTACTACTTCTTCATTTAACTCTTTAATAAGTGGCTCATTAGAGCCATCACCTAGATACGCTTTAAAGTCCAGAAGCTTGGTTCCTAAAACACAAAATTTAGGTATTTATAATTTTTGAATCATTAAGTTACATCATATAAAGATATATATATTAGGACCCTACCTGTTACTTTCTCTTTTATATTGATAGCTAGTTTGACGCAACGGTCAATATATTCTGCAACCTTTTCAAAATCCGATTCAGTAAGACCGCGTGATGTCATAGCTGGTGTGCCGACTCGTATTCCTCCCGGTATTAAAGCACTCTTATCACCAGGAACAGTATTCTTATTAGCCGCGATATTTGCCAGTTCGAGAACACGTTCCACACGCGCACCATCGATTTTCTAAAATGAATTAATTAAACTTGCGTCAGACATAAATACCTATAATTTTATCAAATAGTATACGCTCACCTTTGATCTTAAATCCACTAGCAACAAATGTGTATCCGTACCACCGGAAACTAAATTATATCCCATTTTCTTGAAAGCTTCAGCAAATGCGAGACTATTGATTAACACTTGCTGTTGATATTCTTTGAAAAGTGGGGATTTGGCTTGTTTAAGTGCTACAGCAAGTGCGGTGATAGTGTGATTATGTGGCCCACCCTGATGACCAGGAAACACGGATTGATTGATAGGATTTTCAAGTTCATATAAGGTTTCTTTTTGATTGAACCATTATATATGATAAAGTTTTTACTTAACAAATAAAAAAAACATGCATTAACAATGCCTGAAATTCTGAAAGAAAATAATCAAATTGTATCCACATAATAACCTTTTCCTTTCTTATCAACTTTGCGTACACCCTTCCTATAAAATATTAATGCGCCGCGTGGACCTCTAAGGGATTTATGTGTTGTGGTTGTAACAATATCGGCAAATTCAAATGGTGAAGGAAGAACACCGGCAGAAATTAAGCCTAAAGAACGAAAGAATTAAGCATTTTCATATTTAAAACATCAACAAAAGTTATAATAAAATATGATGAAACAAACCACTTATATGAGCTATATCTGCCATTAAATACGAGTTTGTTTTTTCTGCGATCTTTTTCATTCGTGCATAATCAAATTTTCTTGGATATGCGCTAGCGCCAGCAATAATAACTTTTGGTCGGTATAACAACGCCGTGGCCTCGAGAGCATCATAATCTATTATTCCTGTCTTTTCATTTAATCGATATGGTAAAGTCTCGAAATAGGATGAAACTGCTGAAATTTTCTTAGTATCTGTTTGATATCCATGTGATAGGCTTAATTAAAATAATAAAACATTTTTTTTTTGTCAAAAATTTATTTAATATTCAAACAATAAAAATAATTAATTCATAACATTTACTGTCCACCGTGTGGCAAATCCAATCCCATCAACCGTTCATGAGGTCTTAAGATAGCATTATACACATATAAATTAGCCGGTGCTCCTACATAATAATTATCGTTCTTTAGACATCAATTGATTAAACCTAATATGAGTTAATATGAGAAATACCTGATAAAGATTGAACATTCACTCCCCATTCAAAATCCTTCAAATTAAAAGCTTCTAAAGCTCGTTTTTGACATAAAATCTCTGCCTGATCAATGAATTCATTTCCACCATAATATCTATGAAAGAAAAATATTAAATCAATAAAAGTAATGTTTAAAATTGTAAAAATTGTAAATTATTAATTTTTTGAACTTCATTCACACCTTGCACCTGGATACCCTTCCGAATACTTGTTCTGCATAACAGAACCTAAAGCTTCCATAACGGCACGTGACGTAAAATTCTTAATTAATTTCATCAGATATTAATAGATATTTATATATAATAACAAAAGGAGATTAAATTTAGAAAATTCAATCCACCTCTGATGGAATAAGCACTATACTCTCGCGTTGTCGCCTTTTTTCCTTTTCTATAATATCAAAAACTTCTGGGTCAGTTTCCGTTAAGTGTTTATTTAAATACTGTAATAAAAAAAAAAAAATTATCTTTTATTATACAAGCGAAGGATTTTCAAGCTTTTATGGAAATATATTTTATAGCTATTCTTACCTCCTTTTGAGCTGCACTAGAGGCATAAGATTTCTAAAGTTCACCAGAAAAATAAAAATAAAAATTGATAGTATGTATGTAACCAAGAGAAAACGAAGAAAACATGAAAACAAAAAGTGCATACAAATATAAGACTTGACAATCCATGGTTGATTCTTAGCGAGCGTTTAAATATAGACTTTTGTAATAAACTTTTCGACATTACGAATGTATAATTCGCACGTTATTTCAGTTAAAAGAATAACTAAAAAGAACTTGAGTAAAATTTCACCCAATAGAAACCGAATATAAAAATATTATATTTGTAGAACGTATCCTTTAAAATAAGATTTCGGAGAGATTATCAATGAGATCTGATATTTAAAAAGTGGATAAAACTCTCGAATTCTTTCGACATTTTTATTTTAATATATTTAGTACATTTAATTTATTGTTACAAATAATGATAATTGATTTTAGTTTCACCAAGAAAACATAAATTTTTCATTATAATTTATTATTTTATTATTATTATTTTTTTTTTTCCGATATTTCTTTATTGCTTCAAAGTACCGATGATCTACAAAAACAAACAAACAAAAAAATTTAATTAAATTAATATAAAAATCAAAAAAAAATTTAAATATTTACCGCATATGGAGCATATTTTTGTACTACCCCCTTATCGTGTAACATGTTGAACTTGGAAACAAAATAAAATTTTGATTAATTTGATTCATTAATTTTTCCAGAGAAAGGATAAACTTTTTCTACTTACTTCCTCACTTGCATCTTTTCCGGCAAATAGTAAAATTGATTTCTTACCACCTGGATGATCTATATTAAAAAAAAAGGTTTTAATGAAACGACTATTTTACTTTGTAACAAATGAATAGTAAGAAAATAAAAAAATAAAAAAAGAACCTGGAAGGAATTTTGTAACGTTGAGGACCTGTCCATTAACCACGACTTTAAGTGTATTTGTAATAGGAAATTAGTTCAAGTTTATATTTACACAAAAGAATAAATTTAGGAAAGGAAAATACTTTACCCCAACAATCTTGTTCAGAACTATGCTTAGCTACATCATCAATAGTATATTCTTTTAATTCGACTGGAGGAGCAGCTTCCTTCTTTTCATTCGAAGGAGCAGGAGTTGAAGGAACTTGAGTGGTAGCAGCACTAACGCCTTGCTGTTGGCCCCAAGCAATTTCCAATCGCACTTTTTGATTTGTAGGATCAACATTAACAGTTGCTTGATAGGGGGCCAATTGACCAGCAATTTGTCCGAGTCGACGATTCGCAGTCTCGCTGGACAAATTTTGGAGCAATTGACGTGATGCCGAATCACCAGCAACTCGTCCAAATACAACACATCCCAATAAAGATGATCCACCAAGACGACTATATATTATTTAAGTGTGAGTAATTTATTTAATATCAAAAAATTTTTCATAAATGGTATTTACTTTGCTCCATGAACACCTCCAGCAATTTCACCAGAAGCGTATAGCCCTGGGATAACTTTTCCTTGTACATCTTTGACTTCAGAATCAGGAGTAACTTCAACGCCTCCCTATAAAAAAATTTTAATATAATTAGGGTTTGGTTAGATCACAAACAAAAAAGTAAAGCAGGTGACTTACCATGGTGTAATGCAAGACTGGTGCCATTAAAGCAACGTGGAAATTGTCATCTACTGTCAAGGGAGCATTGTGAAAGAATTTCTTTCCATAAGGGTCCTTCTTTTTACCAGAAGCGATACCATTGTAATCATCAAAAGTTTCTCTTAATCGTGATACAGGAACACCGATTTCTCTCGCTAAATCCTCACCAGAGGAAAATTTTCTCATTAAACCACGTCCGACATAATGTTTACAATGCCATTCAATCTCTTTCGCGGCTTTGCTATTAAGTACAAGTCGGACCGGACCTTTTGTCTTCCAAATTTCACCAGTGACGTAATCACGATGACCCAATTCATCACAGAATCGTTTTCCTTCACCGTTTAATAATAAACCACCAACGCCACGGAGTGCTTCAGCGGCTAAAAATTTGATCTTGGCATCTGGCTCTTTGGGATCAACAAGACCAGTTGGATGTACTTGAACTTTTTCAAGATCAATAGCTTGACCACCAATGGCAAGAACCATTTTATGACCATCACCAGTACAATGATCTCCATTCGTGGTAGGTAAATCATATATGTCTGGTCGATATTTTTTAAGCAATGAACTTTCCGTGAAATCGGCTGCATAACCACCGGTGGCCAAAATTACGGGACCAAGTTCTTTAAATGTTTGGCCATCTTTCTCGTATTCGACACCAATAACTTCTTCACCTTCTTTAATCAATTTTGTTACACGCGCTTTCATTACGATACGTGCACGATTTGGTTGCTTTTCAGCAATTTCTTCGAGAAGTTCCATCAAAGCATACGTAATTGTCATACCGGGAAACATTTCTTTCCCACGATGTGTACGAGGCTGAGAATGTCCACCTAATCGTGAAACGAGAGAAAGATCCAATTTGAATTTATCTTGAAGCCATTCAACAGCAGATGCCGAATTTCCTGTGAGAACTTTAATAATGTCAGGACGAGCAAGGTCACGAGCCGAACGTATTGTATCTGCTTCAAATATAGCGGCAGAGTCTTGAATACCAAGGGCTACATTATATATCATAATAAATCGTTATAAAAAAAATTAATTCAATTAGATTATGCATAGAATAAATCTAGTTATTAAGAGTTTATTTTGACGAAAACAACGTTGGGAAAACAAGCCGCATATAAATATTAGCTAAAAACAGTTTTCTCTCTTCGCACACAATGATACTAACCTATCTGAGTTTTGGTCAAGGCGCCGTTGATACCTGAGGTAGCTTTGGTAGAGTTACCACCAAAGAAAGAATTCTTATCAAGAACAAGAACATTAGCACCGTGTTCTAAAACAGTATGAGCCGCAGAAAGTCCAGAAAGACCACCACCAACAACAATGATTTTAGCAGCCATTAATTCAATTATCGTAAAAAATAAATTTGATCTTGTTCTTTTGTTTCAACTACTTTTCTTGAACTGGACTAGAAAGTAGTTCTGCGTAAAAAAAAAAAAAGGATATAAATTTATATATATTTGTGTCGTTTAGATGGTTGATTGATGATTTGCATGGTGTGGCTGCATTTGGGCTTAATAATTCTTAATTAGATTCGGTAAGATCCATCGAATGTTAATTATCAGCCAATCAAAGTTAATTATAATGGACAAAAAAATTTGAATTGTTTAGAATACCTTTTATTTATCCCCCAAGTTTCTTCCCACACTGGATAAACGTGTTTATATAGGAGGTCTTTCTAAAGACATAGTTGAAAAGGACTTGGAAGTTCGCTTAAGTGCTTTTGGAGTCGTAACAAATGTAGACATCATACGTCAGCCTACAGGTGAAATGAGAGAACTTTTAAGGAAAATTTTGTGTGTTTTTAATATATTAATTATTTGGTAATTTTTCATAGGAGAGTGTCGTGGTTTTGCCTATATTACGTTAAAGACGACTGATAATGACTGGAAAAAATGTATAGTGTTTTTTTTAAATAATAATAATAATAATAATAATAATAATAATAATAATAATAAGTGAAAGAAAAATATACAAACTTATTATAAAATATAAAGGTGTTTCTCTCTTCAATGGGGCTAAGTGGAAAGGAATGACGTTAAAGGTTCAGGAGGCGAAACTTGATTATAAACAAAGGTACAAATAAACTAATTGAGTGATCGATCATTCTAGTCACGTGAAATATTATAATTATGATAATCTATCGTATAAAAAGGTTAAAAGAAGAGTGGGAAATTCAAAAAGCTTTAGAAGAAAAGGCTAAAGTTACCCTACCGCGTAAAAAACGTGGACGGGATCGTTCTTTCGAATTAGCTGAAGATATGAGTCTGGTAACTGATAGCAGTGCCGAGACAAGAAAGGTTTATTTTTTTTTTTTTTGGAACATTTATATTTTCTAGATGGTAAAATGCTTTTATATAAAATCATTATATTTATTAATTCAGGGTTGGAAAAAATTAAAGTATGGTCGTGTTGCATCGGTTATGCGATTAAAAAAGGATGACAGAACAAGGGTATATATTAATTTAGCAAATCTCATGATAAACGTCACTTTAAAGAAAGTATTTCTTTCTTTTTTTTTATTAGTTAACCTAATTAAATTTCCTTAAAAAGGTAACGATTGATCCGAGTCACTATAAAGACAATCTTTTGAAATTGTCTGATAAAGATATGGTTGTTAAACCGAAATCACTCGCTCGATTACCGTATTTTTATGAGGAATATGTAACTATCGAAGAGAAACAACAACCCTTTAGAAATTTTAATAATGAAATGAAATTGGACGAGAACAAAACTCAAGTAGATTCTTATGAGAAATTAGACAATGAATCAAAAATAAATTTCGCATCATTTTTTCCAAAAGTTGACATTACAATTACCAACACAGCACCTATGGTTACCCAAACTCAGTTGCCGCCCTCAATTATTGATGATTTTAAAAAGTTGAAATTGGAAAAAGAAAAGAATAAGAATCTATCGAAACCAGAACAATCTAATCTGGAAGCACTAAGGCAACGGTCGGAAGAAAAACGTGTTGAAAAAAAATATATTACGCAAGCGTTAAGAGCAGATGCTGCGTCAAACGTAATTGACAAGAATAAGAATCTATCGAAACAAGAACAATCTAATTTAATTCGTTTGGAAGCGCTAAGGCAACGTGCGGAAGAAAAACGCGTTGAAAAAGAAAAGATTACGCAAGCGTTAAGAGCAGAGACTGCGTCAAATGTAATTGACACGTCTTGTTTATTTGATATCTATTTAGTCTTATAATTTACACTTTTATCTTGATAATTTTAGAATACTAAACATATAGTATTTAGTGATGATGATGAACAGAAAAACGTGGAATCACATACAATGAACCTATTTGATTCAGATGAATCTGATCAAGAACCAGTAGGATCAACAAGTTAGTATTAACAATTGTTATTATAGTTATTTCTATTTTACTTTATAAACTTATCAAAGACGTTTTAATAATAGATATAACGATAAATCCAATTTTTGAGGGTCCTTCGGGACGTGATTATCTTAATTTACAAATGAAGTTTCGTGGCGATGAACGATTCAAATTGACAGAAGATTTTGTTGATGATGATGATTATGATGGTCAAAAGGATGTGAATAATGATTTATCTATTAATGAAATTGACGATGAAACTGCCAAATCATTAGAGGAAGAAAGGGGAAATCAATTTGATATCTTGAAAGAAATATTTGGAGACAATATGAAACCCGAAAAGTCGAAAAGGTATATCTAAAAAGTATATCTATTTAAATTTAGCATACTATAAATTTACAATAAATTTACACATTAATAGAAAAGAAACCCAATGGAGAGAAATAGTTCATTTTGATCCTGACGTTTCAGAAGCGAAATCATTAGAATTTCAAAGGCAAGAAATTAATGATTTACCAAGTAAGTAAAGTACACATCGCATCACTCTATCATTATTATCATAATAACTTTTATTAATTTATTAGAATCATTATCAGAATCCACTCCATCATTATTGAAACCTTTGCCTAAAGTATCAAAAGATGTAAAAATAGAAATTAATTCCGATTTGAAAGGAATATTCGCTCCTCGAACTTCAACCGGTAACATTCCTTTTTCCAAAAAGGATTTACCATTTTTTTTTTGATTTTTATATCCTTTTTTTTTTTATAGCTATACATTCATTCTCGCTTTTTGATGATGACGAGAATAAAAGTGAAACGGATGATATGCAAATGCAAGAAAATACTAACGAGAACGGGCCAACTTTGGTATGTCTTTTTTTTAATAAGCATAAAATTTTTTTTTAACATCTCTCTCTTTATATATTGTAGATTAGCAAAAAGTCTTCAACCATAACGGACAGTGTGTCAGATCAGAAGACGCAGGTTTCTTCGGGACCATTATTCTTTTTCCATTTTGGAGACAATGAATTATCAAAAAGGTTGGTTATTTTTTTGACTTGGGTTTATTGAGCAACACTTAAAACTATAGCTTCGAAAATTATTTTGTTAGATCACATTTTAGGGAAATGAAGATATTCATGCGGATGTCACCCGCGTAAGTGTGAAGTCATAATCAAAAACGAAATTTTTTTAATTGAATCCTAACTGATTTATTACTTTTAGTGAAAAAATAATATCTCACTGGCAAGAAACTTCGCGTGATTTGACAAAAGAATATAAACGTAAACATAAATCAGTATCGCGTAAATTAAGCAAGATGAAGAGAAAGTGACCGAATATGTATGTGATCGGAATTTTTTTTTTTGGCTAAAGAAAACTATTTATTAATGCCGATATGATACTTTAAGAATAATAAAATTAATGGCCTATTTTGACATGATAGTAACAAGAAGGTACTAACTTACACAAAATGTTATAACTACGACTTGCTTTTTGTTTCTATAATAAAATATTACTAATGACGCAAAATTATTATTTTACACCACCTTTAATAAATTAAAAATATTTGTTTTAGATGTGTCACAAATCGTCTAACCAATATTATTTACTCAGGATAAACTTAACCAAATAAAAGATGGTGCTATTGATGTCGAGAGATTATCGAATCCATCAAAAATCGAAGATCTGAAACATTTAATTTTACTTGAAGAAATTATTTGGGACAAAATATTTCACAGAGGATCTTGATTTCAATGGCAAAACCATCATCGTTATTTTTCAAACAAAAAGAATGAGATCAGTCAAGAAAGGGATCTTAGATATGCCTCATATATGACAAAAAAAAAATTTCGCATAGATTGATCTTGTAAATAAAAAAGGCAATATTAAATACCTTAATATATCACTTGATTTATTTAATAATCACGTCATATATAGTTGAAATAGGATCTAGGCTCTAAATTGGTCCGAAAATGTGTAGTGTTCAAGAAACTTCGTTAGATCTCAATGGTTTGTTTCAAGTAAAATTTCTTATATATATATTTTTAGCCGAGTTAACTTGATTTACAAAACTAGTTAATATCAAGCCAGCTACAAAGGATTGTATTAAATGTAAAACAACAAAAGCAACTGTACTAATTCGACATTCTACATATTGCAAGTAAATACAAAATAAAATAACTTTGCATGATTAGAACCTTCAATTTAATTTTTAAAAGAAATAATAATTTTTAAAACTTAGAAAATGTTTCCAGCATGTATTTGTTGGTAAATTCCGAAAGAATGTGGAAAAATCTCGTATATCTTCTAATTCTACCAAACTTAATGGTTGTGGAGAGAAAGTAATGATTGGATTTTCAGGCGGGCCGTCTTCAAGGTTTTTTTTTTTCTTTTTTTGAAATCTATTTTAATTGAATAATTCATTGGAGGGTATTAACAAAACGCGTTATATTTATGAATTTTGTATAGAACGATGTTACAATTAATAAATGAATATAACGAAACTCACCCACATGAAACGTCAAAAAAATGTGCATATTCAGAAATTATTGTTTGTCATATTGATGAAAGTGTATTGTTTAATTACGACAGTACAAGTAGTACATTTTCACAGGTATGCGAAATTTTGTTTTGGTAAATTTCAAATATACCTAAAAAATTTACGTACTTATATATAACAGGAAAGCACAATCTTACAAGTAGAAAAGATTGTACAAAAGTATAATTATCCATTCATAGGATTATATCTACAAGATATATTTAATCCTGATGTTACTAAAAGTGGATGTTATAGCAATGTTCTTGAGTTGGCGGTTGATGACGCCAAAATTTTGAATCTAGAAGAAGGTTCTGTTGTTGCTCCTACTGAGAAATTATTACACTTGTTAAATAATGTTTCAAAATCAACTGCAAAAGAAGATTTTGTATGGTATTTGAAGTTGTGCTATTTAATTTTTACTGCAAGGAAAAATGGGTTAGAAAATTTTTTCTTTTACTTTTTTCTATTTTTTTATTTACGCATTTTTTTATAACGCTCATCTTATATTGCGCATGTATTGATAATAATGATGTAGATGTAAACGGTTGTTTTTGGGAGATTGTTCATCGAGATTATCGATAAAAATAATTTCACAGACGAGTAAAGGACGTGGTTTCAGTTTACCTTTAGAAACCTCCGGTGAAATTGATTGGTTTGAAGGTAAGAAAGTAATTTATGATATTTTTATTTTATTTCTACTTTTTATAATAATTCGTTGTTAAATAACTTAATAGATGTAATAATTACAAGACCAATGAAAGATATGTTATCAAAGGAAATTGGGAAATTGCCTAATCATGATTTGTGAATCTGTCATAATAGTAATATGGTAATTTTGTGAGGCTACGAGAATGATAGTAAAAATTGCTGCTAGTTCTGCTATTGATGATAAGGAAAATGTAGTAATCAATGTAAATGAAAAGGAGACTATAGGTGAATATGGATTCGTTTGTAGTTAAGCCATACCCATTCTCATGAAAGGAGTGCTCAAGTTCATAAGGAAACCATCTGTGTAAAATTCTAAATATGTTGTAGCAAAAAATTGTTATGAAAGAATTAGTAGGACATTACTATGTGGTAATATAATAAACTTTAATATTAATATCAGAAGTGCAAGACAGTGAAAATCAATTGGAAACAACTGGAAAGGACTATTATAAAAATGGTTAAAAATGTGTGATGCAATATCCTTCATAAGTATAAATGATCATGCGTTGACATGTTGTTTCTAGGTATTCTTGAGTATTATTTTTAAACAGAGGCTGATGGATATTGTTATTATACAATTGTATTTCTTAAGATCAGGAGAGTTACTCTTAAATAATGTGGGCCTATTGAGTGAATACTCGTCACATTGATGCAGAAATATTTTAGTGAAGTAAGAATACATGTAATGGACAACATCTGTAAAATTGCTTGCTATTTTTAGAACATAACTTATTATTATTGTATTAGCATTATAGTCCCAATAAGTGACAAATGAGTGGACTGTTATTTTGTCTTGTAATAGTAATGTCTGAAATCTGTAATTAATGTTTTATCGGTATATTGTATTTATAAACAAGGAGTTAAACTCGTTGACGTTGAGTATGTTCTTAGCTATGAGATACCATTTCAGAGATAGTCTATTCCTAAAGATTGATAACAGATATCTCAGGTCTTTAGCAGTATATAAAGATCTTCCATCTCGGCTGACTAATTGCTTTACAAATATTAGGGAATATTTGAACAAAGAGGGGCTGATTTCTTATAATCTTTTAAAATAATTAACTGAATGGTAATACAGAGGGTCACCAAAAGTCTCTGAACACCACTTTTTAAGCGTGATTACATGCTAGTAACGTCACGTAACTTAA